ACATACGCCAACATGTCTTTTGGACAGACGGCAAGCCAAGATGGCAAGTTGTCGTTCTCGTAAAATGGGTAGCTTCCTCGCTGTATGTTTTTTTGCAGCTGTTTGCTTTCGGGACGTTTGATTCAAGGCCCTGCCCAGGAGGCAAGTCGTGCATTTCGTCATGGTCCAATGATGAAGGTCCCATGCCCCAGGACAGATAATGGTAGCCATGACGAGCATCGCGCTGGCTTTCCGAAGCCTCCGAATTTACCTGCGTGCCGAAAAGACGGTCATTCTCGACTCGTCGACGACGCCGGAATAAAAAAAAGCCATTCTGCGGATTCCGCGGTGCCAGAATGAACACGGGCCGGCTGAAATGGGGCATCGCGGAGCTCAACTTGTAAACTGCTGTACTGGAACTCAGACTTACAGCCACAAGCTGGAAACGAGTCGTTCCATTTATACACGGCGGTATACGGTGTATGTATTAGTGAGAAAAACCCACGCCGTAAAGAGTCTTCCTTTGGCTTCAGTAACGATACTTGTATAAGCCGACGTCGAAGCAATCACAAGTTCTCAGTCACACCGGCCTCAATCCCCTCCATTAAATCCAACAACTCACCCCAGACCCTGGCACTGAGCGCCTCTCCCTCCTCGCCAAGCATTGTGCTCGGCCAAATCTCCTCCTCACGGTTGGACAGGAACTTGCCGTGCGTCTCGGGCGCAAACGCACCAGCCATCACAGTGCGCGACCCCATCTTGCTGCTCTCGCAACCGCAAGGTGAGAAGCAGCGTTGACATGGTGTGCACTGTTGTCGTGGTCTCGTGTCCATCGTGGAGCTCATGGTGCATGATTACAATGCCTGCATTGTTGAGCAGCACGTCGAGGCAAACTCCTCGCTTTGGAACGAGCATAAATCGAGCCTCCATACTTCCATCACACCGTGTCGCGGCGTCGCTCTCATTGTCTGCCTTGGCCGCGGCTCCTTTAGCTACGTTGCGACAGGCAATGATTACTTCTGTCGTGTTGAGACGGACACTGGCTGCTTCAGGCCGAAAAGTCCTGCGTATGCAAGCGCGTTAGATGGAAATGACGCCCTTCCGCTGTGAACATGTGATGAACTGAGTTGGGGGAGGGAAGGAAACGACTTGCCGGTGTTTGCGCCGGTGATGATAACCGGCACAATCCTCGTCAGGGTATGGCAGGGCCTTGAATTGCGCTGCGGGGTGCTGATGACTGACATTTTACGAGTTCGCGAGCCATGTTTGGCTGGAGCTGCGAATCGCGATGCTGGGCCACGATTTTTTTGTTGATGAAAATGGATGGTGCAGTGGCTGGCTGGGACACCAATTCCATATTAGCAAGCACATTAATAGTCTATATCGGGCCATATTTGATCATTTCAGAGCCGACTAACAATATATATACTACGGTGCTACGTGCTATTCAGGCAGATTAAAAACTGATGCAACTTGAATTATAGTCTCATCGACTCCATAATCTTCGCTTTATTGCAGTTTTTATTACTCAGAAATTAGCCCCAAGTTGGCCAATTTGTACTACCAAAATACTAGACTCTTTAATGTTCAAAGTAGACAGTGTGGATAGTCCTTGACTCCTGTCTCATGGCAGTTGAAAGAATGACACTAGACCAGACCTATGTCCAAGGACAAGAATGTTATTCCATCGCGCCGCACATGTGGCCCTGTAATCTGGTGGAAGACACAAAAGATTACGTCCATCTCGAGCTATCCAATCTTCAGTAATGGATATAACATCCGCTGAGCCTTCGGCCGCGGTAGTTTTGGCATTACATTTGGAAATTGGCTCGGGAAACTTGTCCCATCCCAATTTGCAGACGTCGAGCTGGCTGATCAGTTCTCTGCAAGTATTATCCGATGACCTCGTCCGATGGTCATCTCCACCCAAAGCCCACCTGACAAGATCATGATATTGGGCGGAAACAGGGCCGACGTAGATTTTAGATTCCAGCTTCCCGGCAGCTGATGCGGCATTGATAACGGCGGACAAACCTGCTTTTCGTAGATGAGTCTCGAACTTTGAAAGTAAAGGAGCCAGACCATCTGGCATGCGGGAGAGCAAATTGACCGTACGAGCCATATCCTCTTCTCGTCCGGCGTCGAGTAAGGACCGAAAGTTGTCTCGAAGAACTTCAGCGTGCTCGGCAATGAGAACTTGGATACAAGTCTGCCTCAACGGATCTGCAGTGTCATGATGGAGACAAGTCCGCACTAATTCGTCCTCTTCATCCAGGCGTAGCTCGGCCCTCCTCATATACTCGACAACGCCATTCTCCGCGAGATAGTGCTTGCTCTCCCCGCGGTAATACAGCTCCGTTGCTTCCAAGAACGATGTCTCGAAATAGTATCGATATGTCGTCAACGGGTCATCGTGGTCAATATGCAGCGAAACAAAGGATTCAACAACCCGCTTGATTATGCCATTCTCGATGATCTCGCCGTTTCGCTTCCTTTCAACCAACCCCAAGACAACCTCCATGATCTTCTCAGAAATACTGCCGATTACCACGCTCCTCCATTGGACAAGGTGGAGGGTGTAGACATCGTAGATTCCGGTGGTGCCTTCCTCAATCGCCGTTCCCACGAAACGCTCGAGAGACTGGAACATATGATTGATATACTTGGCGGCTTCGGTATAGCGGGGCCATTCTCGATTGTAGAAGGTGAGCAGCCCTTCACCAGTATGAGCCTTGGTTTCGTCAATAACTTGTTCGAGATAGTTCTTCAAGTAGTTTGCCAACTTTGCGTAGACATAGTCAGCGCCATTAAATACTAGAAACGGTTAGCTGAGCAATGTATAAATTATATCGGGACCCATACTTATGCGTATGGAGAGTGGTTTGTCCCCAGCGGACACATATTGAATTGCGCAGAGGTTGTGGACAGCACTGCAAAAAGTCAATAACGGGCAACTGATAGAGGCGCAGAGTGATGGAATGCTGACTCATAGATATCCATATACTATTGGTGGAAAGTTATTGTTATCCTTGAGTCTCAGAATTGTATTGTGAGAAGTAATACGCACTGTCACCATGTCTATGACCTCCTGCGCCTCCCGGTTGTAAATAAATTTTGAAATGGATGCTTGTATGTACCTCCACCTTGGGTGAGTTAGCCTTGACTTGCCTCGACATCCGCCCGTAGATGAGCAACTCACATCGAATCTTCGTCGCCTTGAATATATTGGGGAGGCGTTCTCGATGGGTTTCTCCTAGGCTCGCTTGAATTTCTAGATATAGGCTTCAAGCGATGCATCGTCTCCAAAACCGTACCGTCCAGTGAGAAAACAACGGCAAAGAAGTCATGTGTCCTTATGCTATTCACTTTGTTCAGGTCTAAAAGCGATACCGTGCCGTCGGTCAAAGTCGACGCGAGTACCTTGCCGTCCGGCGAGAAGGCGATGGCTCTGACCCAATCCTGGTTATGGGTCCTTTTATCGGCGTCACAACATCGTTCCCTTAAAATGCTCGAAGCGGAATCCTCGTAGATCGATGTTTTGTTATTCCTTTTCTCGACATCCCAGAGATACAGCGTCCCGTCGGTCGAAGCCGACGCGAGCAACTTCCCGTCTGTTGAAAAGGCAACAGCTCTTACCCAATTACGGTGGCCTTCAAGCGTCGTCAAGAGAACACTTCTATCAATGCTCCAACGCCGTACCCTCCAATCACTTGAACCTGAAGCAATCATCTTGCCATTAGGCGAGAAGGCGATGGACAAGACGTAACGGCTATGGTCCTCAGTTGTTCGTTCGTCTCTTATAATGTGGTTCCGGTATGCAAGTGTTTTTATGAGAGTGCCTTCATTAACATCCCAAAGCCGCACCCTCCAATCGCTTGAACCTGACGCAAGTATCTTGCCATCAGGCGAGAATGCGATAGACAGGATATAGCGGCTATGGTCGTCAATTGTCTGTTGGTCTTCTGTGGTGTGGTTCTGGTGTTCAAGTGTCTTTACACAAGTGCCTTCATCGACATTCCAGATCCGTACGGTCCAATCGCTAGAAGCTGACGCAAGCCACGTTCCGTCAGTAGAAAAGGCGACAGCGTTAACAGAGCCATCATGACCTTCGCGCATCTGTTCAGAACCCCCCATGATGCCGTCCCACATTCGTAGTGTCCGATCGCTCGAAGCTGCTACGAGTACATTACGATCAGCTAAGAAGGCAGTAGAATTGAACCAGCCACCGAGGCCCTCGAACTTCTGCATATTATCAGTGGTGATGTTCCACAACCGTAGTGTCCGATCGCTTGAAGCTGTTGCCAGTGTAATATTGTTTATGAAAGCCACAGAGTTGACCCAGCCGCCATGGAACTCTAGCATCCTTATTTGAGAGCCTGTATCTGCGTCCCAGAGTCTCACGGCCTTATCACTCGAGGCCGATGCAAGGAAATGACCGTCTGGCGCGAAGGAAACGGCAGTAACAGAACCATCGTGGTCCAGTGATGTCTTTATGGGGGTCCCCTCTGCGGTGTTCCAGATGCGGACTGTGCGATCAGATGAGCCTGATGCGAGCACTTTGCCGTTGCGCGAGGAGGCCAACGCATTCACTGAACCACTGTGAAACTTTAAAACCGTCTTGCAAATGCCGTGGTTAATGTCCCAGAGATTTATGGTCCAATCACTTGAAGCTGACGCGAGTGTACTGTTACTTAAGAAGACCACAGAGTTGACCCAGTCTCTGTGACGCTCGAGCGTCCTTATGTGATTGCCTTTATTAACACCCCAGACCCATACTTGACAATCGCTCGAAGCGGATGCGAGTGTATTACCGTCCGGAGAGAAGGCTATATCCAACACATAACCGCGGTGGCCCTGGAGCGTGCGTTTGTGAGCCCCTGTAACATCATCCCAGAGCCTTACAGTTCTGTCGCTTGAGGCAGATGCCAGTATTTTACGATTTGGCTGCAAGTTGAATTTCACTAACTGGTTTCGCGCCATGCGTCCCCCACCTTAGCACTGTCTGATATACACTAAACTGGCTGCCAATTTTGGCAACCACGCACTTAAAGAGCGATTCACAGCCGGATATGGGATATATTGTTTCTTCAGTGGCACAATTTGCACAGCTTATTCGAGCCACACGGTGTGGCAATTAATGGCTGAAGACACGTCTCTATCTACCCATGGACTGCTCGACACCAGCCTTGAATAAATCGGCCATACCGGGCCTTATTTGACGGACCAATTTGCTACATATATGGACATGTGGGTTCTCATGCCCTATTATTGGGAAGTAGCCGTGCAGTTGCGGACCACACCCACACATTGTCACAGTCACTCAAAATCGGGGGCTTGTGAGAGATGTGGAGATTCTTCGGCTGTTTAGCAGCGACTAAACGGTCTACATGGGAATTTCTTGACAAAGCTGGTCGCTTCCTAACAGGTACGGACCTCTACCTTCGGCCTCCAGCTTTGATGCCAATTCAAGTTAGACCCCAAGCGTCCAAGAACCAGTCTACCCGTGCCACGCGGGTCTGCCACCAACATTATGTCTCACTTTTTTGAGTTCAGCTCCAGGATCTAGACCAAAATTCCAAACCCGTGTGGCTCGAGTGTGACTTTTGTGGTAATGCAATTCATTCCAGTGCTATAGGCTCCCTGTGGCACCAAGCTCAGGCTATTCTATTGCTGGGTCTGGACTGCCTGACAAGCCGAGTATTGTCCATGGCCTCTGTGATTTAGCTTCATGGGCGGGGCCAGATTGCTCCTCTACGGCTGTGCATTGGGCGCATAAACTAACGGGCTACCCAAAATTAAGCTCGGAAGTTTCAATAACTACACACACTGTCTAAATTAAGCATTTGCTTTGAGCGTCACGACCTTATTGCCATCGCAACCTCGGACTATTTGCATTAACCTAATATCAAGTCATCTGTCCCCTCGTATAACACAAAGAATAAGCCATTTGCGCTAAATCATCATTATCGCATCACCGCCGTTTAATCGTACGCCGACTTTTATTCGTCTCGGATGAGACAACTTTTGGCGTTTTGTTCAGCTCGTCATTTCTGGAGGCGAACCTTTACGACTGACAAGCTTTCAAACGTATCGCAAAAGTACTGTACTGTATAAGCGATGTTTTGGACTAGAGTTTAAGCTTTCACGCCATCTGGCTAGGTTCGGGATGTCAATCGGCTCAACGTACCCGGAGGGGTTCTATTTGTTCCCAACACCTATATATCTGTGAAGTCTGGTACACCACTCTCCTCGTCTCTCGACTCAAAGAAGACGAGGCAAAAGCGATGGCACGTGAAGCTCTATCCAAAAACGCCTATATAAGGTTCCACGTGCTGCCCTCCCCAAGTCCTTGTTGTCTCTCTATATTTCTCTCCCTTACTTATGAATCAGCATAAATAAGTTCTTGGCAAACCAGCCTCTGCAATTCGTCCACTGTAGCCCTTCTCGCCATCCTTACTCTAGATAGACTGTTCGGCAGATCTTCATCATGGCCCAAATTCTCAATGACCCAGATGGGCTTGTTAATTTGCGGAACCTCGCCCAAGTGGTAGAGAGAACTGCACCCTCCCCCCCCGATAAGTCAATTCCGATTGTGTTCGGTAGGTGTTTACAAGGTGTCCTTGAACGCAAATAATAACGTAGTCAAGTTCCTGGATTCTCTGGTTGGGGCGCGCCATTATTGGGCGCGATCAACTACTTCGGCGGTGTAATTGACATGCCGAACCTTTTACTCGATGAGGGGTATACAGTCATTGTCGCTCCAGTTGCTCCAATCTCCACAAACTGGGAACGGGCTTGTGAGCTATACAGGCAGCTCACTTTCGGAAGGTGTCTGGTGTTTCATCTCAACTGTCCAACATTCGTATCTAACTGCCATCAGATTTAGCACCGTCAACCCAAATACACGTGTTATTAACGAGGTCTACGACGTGGACATTGATTACGGCACTTATTTTCCTGCGGGTCCTCACGCCCCAGACGACACTACACGCACTGGGCAAACCAAGACGACTGACAGAAGACGGGCAATCCTGTTTTCAAACTCACCCAACTTTCGCAGATGGAAGTGGGACCGGGAGCACAAGGTCCATTTTGTTTGCCACTCTCAAGGTGGAAATACGGTGCGCTACCTCATTGGTCTGATGGCCAATGGCGCCGGGGCTTTGCATTCCGAATACTTTAGCCAGGCAGGGAGAGACGACTGGACCGTATCCGTCACAACCATAGGGACACCTCACAGAGGAACGACTCTCATAAATGCCCTCCAAGGTTTTCTTTCCGTATTTATTCAAGCCCTCGGTTCCTGTAATCGTCAAGCTTCAAAAAAACTAACGAAACGTAGCGATCAAGACTTCGGGCGGTCGGCCTAGTCGCAAGATTCTTCGCTACCGCATCCTTCTATCCTCCAGGGAGGAGGGCTTATGATCTTCAGCTTGACCACTGGGGAATCCGCAGAAATGCAGGAGAAACGTTCCAGCAGATGCTCGTCCGTATGGAAGCCGACAACGGCCCGGTGTGGAAATGGCTAAATTCCGACAACAACGGTCTTTACGACAACAGCATCGAAGGCGTTCACGATCTCTCCCAGAGGGTACCAAACACGTCAGAAAATATCTTCTACTTCAGCCTATCCTTCCATGCAACAGAACCTTTCCCCGAGGCTTGGCCTCCTTGGGGTAGGGACGCAATTGACTCCTTTCCCACCAGCATAGAGAATTTTGTGCGGCGCGTGATAGGACCCATCCCAATCCTCGGGTGGTTAATGGAAATAATAATCAACGCATTCACTGACATTGGATGGGTAATACTCATTGTCATGACCAATTTTCGCTCTTTCGTGGAGTGGGTTACTGAAGCAGTCATGACCAGGCTTCTCCGGGAACTAGGCTACGATCTTGTGCTTCCGAAGCCAGGAAGATACATTCCGCGGAACGACGTCATGCCCATATTGGTACTGAGCGTCTACGCAATGGGAAGCCAGGAGCTATCACAGCAGCAAAGGAACATCCTGGGGCCTAATCTGGAAGACTGGTACCAAAATGACGGCGTGGTTAACACCGCATCCATGAGCGGTCCAGAAAACGCTGTTTCAGCCATCAGCTCCCTACCGGATTTCAACTTTAATACCGACGGAAAGCGAGGAACATACTGGCACTTCGGCGTCAATAATCGAATGGACCATGCGGATGAGATTGGGGTTTTCATCGAGCAAGACACGGTGAGTGTCCGGAATTCCTGCTACTAGTTGGCTTCACTAACTTGGAAGCAGGCGCAGCTCACACAAGATATGTATCTTAATATCGCGAAGCTGATATCACATCTGCCAATTAATTAGGCTCGCGCTCTCCCTCTATTGTTATTAGGAAATTCGTCGGGATAGGGTTAGGCAGTGGACGTCGTTGGCTCGAATCAACCGTCGGACCCCTTGTCGTGTTGCGTATTAGGAAATCTATCATCAGCCTCGTGTGATGTGACGAGATGTTGTCACGAGATGTGATGTAAACAGAAGCATTCCTGCTCGGAGCTTGCTACCTTGATGGGTACGCATAGATGAAATGTCCCCGAGCGTGAACATCAGTGAATTCAAACGCCCCGCCGTTGCCTGAGCCTGCCCCTGCCTAGCCGTGCCTCGACAGCGAATTCTAGCAGTGGTAACGTGGGCCGGAACCGGGTTACGTTCCTGTTGCCGGCCCGTCTGCTGGCTCTAAGAGGGCCAGGACCCCGGATGAATTCGAGCTTAAAACAGATATAACACAATAGGATAAGAAAGAAATAAACAAGCTCAAAACGTGGCTTTTAATAAAGGTTTTTAAGCTTAATAATAGCAATACTCTTCCAGCTTATTAGCTATAGTAATCTAAACAGCTTATAACCCAGCGGATAGCATAAATAGGATTGGATATAGCGTTAATTCCTGTAATATCTAGTAATTATAAAAGGGTTTTTTCTTAGTATAAGCTAATAATTATAGGATAAAAAAATCGTTTTAAAGCAGATATTATTAAGGCTATATAGTGTCTACAAATATAGCTTATTATAAAGAAAAAGGCTTTAGGCTCTTAGAAAGGGAGGGGCAATTAAAAAACGCTACTTAAGTTGTATAATATCTCTGAATAGCTTCGTTTCTCAGCGAAATTTTCTCTGACTAAGCAGGCCTTCCCCAGCCTGAAGAAAATTACAACCTTGCCTAGGCCTGCCTGTACAAAATCACAATCTTGCCTGGGCCTGCCTGGAAAAAATTACAACCTAGCCTAAGCTTGCCTGTACAAGGGTTTTTTTGTGTGAGCCCGCCTTAGCCTTGCCTGGAGTTAAGAAGTTGCCTGCCTTGACATGACCCTAGGCTGAGGCGAGGCGGGGCGTTTGAATACACTGGTGAACATGTGGGATATACGTCCCAGAAAGCTACTCTGAATAGAAGGAACAAACAAAAGTGAACTGATGCAGCGCTTTACCACCTTTCTTTGTCATCTTACTTTCTTGGCATATAATTATTAAAAAAGTAAGCATAATTTAAACACAGATTTACTTAACACAATCGTATTTTCATGGCACTCGTAGGGCAGGTTTAGATGGCCGGCAATGGATGACAAGACCTTCAATTTACACACACTATTATCCTCTCCTTGCCTCGTTGGCCTTCAAGCACCTCAAAGATAATTGGCGAACATGGTCTTGAAGTAGTCATTGAGGAACAGCCCCTTTGGGTCGAGCTGCTGGCGTATCGCAAGGAACTGCCGGATGCTCTCCTGATCCTCGGTCTGCGCAAAATGGCTGCTCGCCCCGTCGCGCGTTTTGTTGATATGAGGGATGCCGCCGTGACGCACTGCAAGCTCGTTAAAGGCGAGGCGAAACTCCTTCCACTTGGGTTCCTTCGGGTCAGGGTACTCAGGGTCAATTGCCATCATGTTGGCGCTCCGCGATCTTGATAGCAACGACTCCTGATCCTGCTTGATAAAGTAGACCAGTGCAGGCAACGCTAACGTGAAGTCATGCTGCCGCCGAAACCGGTCGCTCAGCTGTAAAAATGCCCGAATCATGTCACACCATTTTTCCTCGGGGAACACCCAGTCATAGAATTCAAACTTTGGATCATCTGCGGCGTACAAGACTCCACGATCGCACGGATCGATGATGTAGCGACTGTGGCGGATGTGACAAGGGCTCGGAAAGAGGGCTTGGAGCAAAAAAGGGCCCAATTTAATAATAATCTCGAAGGGTCTGTAAGGTCTTGAGTTGCTACGAGAAAGGAAGAGAAGGGTAACCGCCTTATATACATAAAAGGAACGCCCAGGCCTAGGATTCTTGCCCAGGCACGTGTTCTAGCTGTGTCACTAATAAGTCTTGTATCGGCGAAGCCCCTTTGTTAGGCTTCACGATCTGTTGGGCCTTTTCCGTGTAACATGGAATGAGAAGCAAGTATGAAAAAGTGTTTACCTGGCAAAAGGCGGGATCGCCGTCATCAACAAATCTCGGCATGTTCTGACTTTTGGGCAGTCTTGCGGCGGATGCAGCCATGGCCAAAGCGAGTACGGCAAGAACAGAGCGCATCGTGACCAGCTGTGGCTTTTGAGTCTATACAAGGGCAAGGTTCGTGTGTTATTGCGAAGCTTGGTTTAGTTGAGTGGTTTGTGGAGGGTAGAATGGCAACGAATTTATGAATTCCCCCCTATTTACAAATTACCACCCACGCTATCTTATACAAGAGCCGGATAGCATTGCAAGTTAAAAAATGCTGTTTATTCTGGAAAAGCACCTTGACAGTGTACATTTATGTTTTTGTTCTCCTTTCGCCGTAAAGGGTGTATATCTTGCGATTTAGCTTCTTGTGCTGCCTTCTTGCGTTATAATATATTTTAATTGTTGGAAGTAATATACTTTACGTGCTATATAAGCTTTTTATATAAATAAGTATATATTATATAAGTTTAATAATTTAAAATAATAATTTATTTTATATGCTTTTTTTCTTAATATTATTTTTTTCTCCTGGTATTAGGGAAAGCCAGTTATTGTCTTGCAAGTTGCAGCTGTAAATACTAAATGTACTTGTTGTAACAAGGGATATATTGTGATAATTGTCGGCCTATAATATGGCGTTATTTGGTCGGACTAATTATGCCCGGTCTATAATCACCCTAATTAGTTAGATTAAAGTTATCCTATTTCGGCGCCGCGAGTTGTACACGTGAGCGGCCTGTAAAAGAGGTTACCGCGGCAACAACACCGACTATAAAGGCCACGATGCCCGCGTGTACGCAGTCAATAGGCTCCTTTTCCTTAAAAGAAAAAAATCTTGCCTATCAATTTGAACCCTGTTACTAGTAACGCCCTAATTCCCTTGTGAGACCAACAGGATAAAAGCTTAGAGTAAATACTTAATTTATCTAATAATAGTTTTTAGTATTAAAAGTTCTTAGTTTTTTTAAGGCCTTAAAAAAACTAAAAAAATCTATTTATATAAAAAGTCAGTGAGGGTCTTCTGCCCTAATCCCGTGACCGTAGCCCTTGTGTAACCATTCCGTGTGACATCGTGGCCATGCAGGCTTGTTACATGGAAAAGACCCAACAGAGGGGCTTCGCCGACAAAGGACCTGTTGGTCACACAGATTAAACGCGTGCCCGGGCAAGAGCCCCTGGCATAGACGTCCCCCTTTTATAGATATATGGTGGCTACCTGTCTCTCTCTTCCTCTTGGAAAACCAAGGACTTTTAGCACCATATCGAGGTTATCTCTGAAATTGAGTCTTTTACTCCAAGCTCACTATCGTACCCTTGTCACGAGGTGTTACATCGACGGAAATGGCCCTGTTACACACGGGATACGGTCACGAGACCTAGGGCAAAATCCCTCAAAGACGTCTTGTATTTATAGAGGCCTTTGGTCCCTCAAGGCCTCGGGGAAAACCAAGGACCTTTGATACCAAAGACTGTTATTCAATGAATTGAGCCAAATTTCTCCAAGCCATCTAATCGAGCCCTTGTCACACTCAACTAGTACACGCGGAGCTCGACCTGGAATATGGACGTGTCTCCAGGCCATTACAAACGAGGCACACCTTTAGACAAGGACGGCCAGGAGGTTAAGAAGACGACCCGCGGCTGGATTTACACCTGCTCTGAGCTAGACTTTCTCCGGACGGTACCGTATCATTATAATGCCTGGTCAAACTCTGTTCTTGAGCGGTATTTTTTCCATCCGTGCGTCATCTCTCTCCTTTACAAAGGCCTCGGCTCACATTTCAGCAGATTTTACAGCCATCTGGCTCTCCATGTACCCCGTACGGTGCCTCCAGCTTTGCTGAGTGTCCTCGGCCTGGTCTGTTCATGTATTGCAGCTGCCACTACCATATGGCATACCTCGACTCCGTCTGGCCTGGTACCCTCATGGGTCTTTTACTTGGATGCCGCATGCGTAATGTATTGCATTCCGAAGCTCAGTATTGCTCATCAGCGTCTCTAACCACATGTATCAAGGTTGTACCACGCTTTCGATGCCTTGGACGGCAAACAATCATACAGGACCCAAAATTCCGAGATTGAGGAATGCTACGACCATGGATGCGATTCCATCACCAGTGTGCTCCAGACGATAGTTTTGCTAACTGCCCTCAACATGACGAGCCGCGCAACAGAACAACTATCCCTGGTCATGATATTATTGCAGATTGCATTCTTTATGAAACACTACGAAGCCAGCGTCACGCATACTGTGGTTTTTTTAGACATTGATGTGACCGAGGTGCAGTGCATCGTGGCAACATTGCTCCTCCTCACCGGCATGTACGGGCAGGGGTTTTGGTCCGAGACTGCTGAATGGGCTCCTGGCCTCCATGTATATCGAGCATCACTCGTTCGTACTCGCAATAACCCCCATGTTTTACCACACATGCACTAACTTGTCTAGCCGGTTGGCATTGCTGTTGCCGGCTTCTCCGCAAGCATACTTCACTCCATGCTCGTCGTGTTTTGCGGCTACAAAACCCGACTGGAACAGGTTGGCATCGCGATTCCAAGGCGGCCCTACTCGTATAAACCGTTGGTCCAGGCCGCAATAACGACATGCTGTGCAATTTTTGCTCACGTTTTCGGTGCGGCAAAGCTAGACGTGACGCTCTTTGTGCTTGCGTACGGATTGGCCTTTGCCAAGATCAGCATAAAGCTCAATGTTCTCAGCAAGGCACGAGCTGATGTCCCATGCATCGATACCGCTTTGGTCTTGACCATGTCGTTGACTCTTTTCTATGTGCTCGCCTTGGGCAGGGCGTCCCGCACAACGGCAACATGCTTGATTGCGTGTATTGTCGTGGTGAGCGTGGTCGACATTTTGGTGTTTTCAGTTCTGGCAACGTGGGACTTTGAAGAGGCGAGGGGGATCAGGGCATTCAAAATTTGTCATGGTGGCAAATATATCAAGCCGCCCTGCGATGGCTTCTACATCACATCGTCAAACCTGGACGATATGAGACAACAATGGCTAGAGCTCAAAGAGAGGGAGCCCGACCTCCTTCAAGCCTTGTACTGTCAGTAGGACGACGCCGGGCCTGCCTGCGCTATTGTGACGAGGGCTTGTGTTTAAGATATTTCTGGGCACGAATATACTCAGATCTTGCATGGCCCTTGAAGAATTCGGCGCGAGCCGCTCGGCCAGCAAGCCACTTGGCTTTGGATCCCGCACCTCCTGGTAGGTTGCCGTTCTCAGGCCGGTGCTTTCCGACCTCTAAGCCGCCTGTGTAACGGGCTGCTCCTCGTGTAGGCAGAATCTGGTGATTAGGACGGGCCGGTGAGTCAGGTCCGTGTTCCGCCTGGGAGAGGAGGTCTGTGGCAACAATGAAGGGATCTGCTATCTCGTCGTCGACAAAGGCGTTGCCGGGCCCAGCAATAGAGTCGACCCTCTCGACCGTCTGCGTATACCTCCCATCATGTAGATTTCGTCGGCGCCGGCGAAATGAAGCGCAGCCACGGTCGTGCTTGGAATACAGCCCCCAATCGGCGGCACGAGTACATGCAATCACAGCCGAACACCAGCGACTTTACCTTGTTGCCCCGTGATATATTTTACGCGCTATGTGGGCTCTGTTATGTGAATAAAACAGATTGCAGTCGCAGAATCCCTCGTAGGGCTTAAATTTGACCTGATATTGTTTACTAGGTACCCGGTTCACAAAGAGATCCAGCGCAATGCGCTTACTCATATTTTCAAGATGAACTTTAGAATTAAAAATGTCAAACTCTCAAGATGAAACGCGAATGCCATCTTCAGACCAACCTGTATTCAACGAACCCACCACAACTATCACCACTCATGCCCAGCATGCAAAATTCTACTTCTCAAACGTTGCCGACATGGTCGTCTTTCCGGCCGCGTTAATACCAGGGGTCTTGTCCGTGCCCAGAAACCGGCCCTTGAACCACCAGATGAGCCAGCTAAAGACCTTCATGTTACCCATCTGGCCGGTTGCCTTGCTCTTGCCGAGCGGAATGCCATACATGGTCTTGCTGTTGACTTTGTACTCGGGCAAGCTCCCGCCCTTAAAGTATGCCCGAAGGACCTTGGTGAGATGCCCCGCCTGGGCATCAGCCGCGAGAGTTCTATTATCCTCGAGATTTTTCGCATCGCCAACAGCAAAAATGTTCTTGTAGCCGTCTGCCCGAAGGAAGGACATCTGCCCGATATATCCGTTCTTATCGAGCATGCCCTTCGGCACAAATAAAGTATTGGGCGTCATGCCAGTAGTCGGCAGGTAAGCCTGCGCATAAGCGTCTCGGTGGTGTCGTCGGCATGCCGCAGTTCAAGAATGGTGTCTCTGTCCCTGGTCGTCGCCTTTGTCACGGCCGTCTTGGGCACGAGCTTGCCCATTATCCTCTCCAGCTCAACCTTGGTCTGCCTGCTTACACTCTCCATGACGGCCGGCGAGAACGGCAGCTCATTGTTGTAAATAAAGTAAACCTCCTTCTTGCCCTTCCTGCCATACTGATAGCTAATCTCGCCTGCTGTCTCGGCTCCAGTCAAGCCGCCCCCGGCAACGACAATCGTCTCGACACGCGCGACCCGCCTCTGCAGCGTGTGGATGCGATCAAAGGTGTTGTCGGCTGTGCAGACCAGCGTCCAGGGCATGTCGTCATTTGCGGACGACCCGGTAGCAATGAAGAGCGTTGTCGTACGGAACGGCTGCTTGTCCCATCCTTCAGCGCAACTGTTACGACGCTTCCCTCTGGACCCAGACCCCTGGCACTGCCTAGCACAAACTCAAACTTCTCCTGGGGGGCTCTTTGAAGGTCGGTTCCAGGGGGTAGATGATCTTCTCGTCGGGCATTTCATCGGGAACAACGACTCGCGGCATGGCAATCGGCCAGTGAAAGTGTGTGGTTGGGGCGACCACAACCATTCTGTAGTTTTTGCTTTTCGGTACTGTGGTGCGCCGGCGAGGCTAAGGCCTAGGACGATGATTGTCTTCATTTTTTCACCGTCTTGTTCAAGTCGGTGTAGTGCTCAGCAGGTGTTGCTGATGTGATGCACGCTGCGAGATTGTTACACGGCAAAGGCCCAACAGATTGTGAAGCCTAATAAAGGGGCTTCGCTGATACAGGACTTATTAGTTACATAGCTAAAATATATACCTAGGTAAGAACCTTAGGCTTAGGCGTTCCTTTTATATATATAAGGTAATTATTCTTTTTTTATAGTAATTTAAGACCTTTAATATCTTATAAGATTATTATTAAATTAAGCCCTTTTTTTCTCTAAGCCTTTATATTAAACCCTTGTCACAGAGATGGCCTACGTAGAAGATGTTAGACAAGACCTGACTGATGAGAAACGACAGCTATTAATATATATATATAACTTCTGCATCTCAGAAATTTACCCGGAATTATTGAATAATTATTAATTGCTTGATCTAAGATACATTAATTGATTCCACTTCCCGCGCGTACCTCCGATCCAAATAGCCAATAATTCGACGTTGGTATCCAAATCAGGAAATAGGGTCGGGGCCACCGGCTACCGTGCGGCGGAGAAGGACCAGTACATAACTCTCCACTTTAATCTCTGCAACACCAATCACAAGGATTAACGCCGAGTCCGATCATCTCGGCGGTGCGCTGGGATTGGCAGCGCGTACGGAGTAGACGTGATGGATATAATCTAACTTGGCCCTGGCAAGTTTAGCCATGAGTAACCTCTTTACTTCTACTACCTTTAATGGAATCTCCTTTGCGTTGCCATGTGGCTGTGGTGGTTGGGCAGGATAACTAAGTGAACAGCTTACCCTATAAAGCAGCAGAACCAGGTCGCACAGCCTTGATGTTCTACACGAATAAAATAAGACCGGCCGTGGGTCCACGGTTGGTCAGGATGAGATGGTGCATCTACATGTCTCCTTTATCTTCCACCCTGCCGACCTTGATCATGACCTAAATAACAGCTTGAGGGCGAGCTAGAAAAGGAGGAAGCTTGTGCTACACGGAAATAGCCTGAGACACGAGGGCTATAGTCACGAGACTTAAGGTAAAGTCCCTTACTAACTTCTTATATTTAAAGACCCCTTTAGTGAATAAGGTCTTAAAGAAAACCAAGGACCTTTAATACCAAAGACTGTTATTAGATGAATTGAGTTATACTACTTTAAGCCTTTAGCCCTTATCACACCCAGCTCCAGTCCCAGATAACCTCGACGCCGGCAACGTGGCCGTCAAACGTCGAGCGCGGCGACGATAGTGGGCCAGTTTCCTGCCTGTTTATGCTGGTAGATGCGTAATGGTTTCTTGTTTCCTCTCCTTCTCTCGATGAAGCCGGTTGTGCAACACTAACATGACGAATAACTTGCGTGCTAAAGGGCAAGGGAATTGTGCTGGGCACGCGATACTTGCCCGGTGGGAAGGAAACAATGCGAAAGGCCTGGACAATCTAGAAGCTTTCGCGTTGCGAAGAGATTGATGCTCGGGCATTGCTCGGGCATTGGTTTACCTTGTAGCTTGGGTCGTCATCCTACGGCACCGTGCCCTTGCGGCTACCTTTGTAGGATAGCAGTAGTAAGTTTGCTGACCATTTTGGAATTTAGAGGAGAAGCGTAAGACTCTAAAATGTAACCATTGTTACGACCCAGTCAAGATAAGTAAACTACGTGACAATAACGCCTTATAAAAGGCCAAATCTGATAACAAAAGAAGAGTTACTTGGCCGATCAAAAAATACAAGACGTGACATTAATACTGCTAATTCACCACCCAAGACGCCATTTCAAATCCGTTAGCAGTCAGATCCATCCAACCTCACATCTACGGTCATATAGGCAGTGTTTTCTTTCTTCTAGTGTACTAGTATAATTGCGATGTACTAGTAGAAAATATCCTCGGTGGGTGGGATTACTGTTAACCCTTGTTAATATAGACGAGAAGTGCCAAAACTCCAAAACTCTATTCGCGGCTAATAGCATCTATAGTAATTTCGCTTCTCATACTTCAACTACAACTTGCCCTAGTCTTTATACCCTGCTACATGTGTACCGGTACAGGCAGAGGCGGGAATACTTACTCCTACAACCATCGTAAGCCACCCATGCGACCCGTAACGCTTCGAAAATTAACCCGCTGCCCTGCCGCGTTATGCCGTTGGGTGGCTCACGCAGCCGGCCTGACCTGCGACCTACGTACAGCCTATAGGCTGGGTCGTAAGTACATGACATGCCATCCTGCCACAGGTTGGCGAAGCCCACTTTTGAGAATTTAGATAACTCGACTCATGGTCAGGTCAGGTCAGGTCAATAACTAGGCGAGCAACAATCAGGCGGTATGCATGCTGAGACGCGTAATTTCGACCCGCTATGGTAATGGGTGGATATAAGTGGTTTGGTGTCGTGTTGTATGTTATTGATGTATTAATCAGCAAGTAGTAGTTTCAGGTGCTGTTTGGTACCGGATTTATGCGATGCGCCTTGGGTCCGATTCCCGGTCAATTCCCGCATAATACATATTGACTTGACATGTCCTAAGCCCATAACCCGCTTCTCAGGTGGCCCACGCCTGACTCGTAAGCGCCTTACTATAACTACCTAGGTAGATTTATCTATGTATTTATTGTATGCTAGTTCTAGATAGCACTTGATGCTATGCTACTAGAACTGCTGCTCCGAATTGTCTTGCAGAGAGAAGTTGTACTATATTGCTAGCAAATCCAGCTAGTCGCCCAGTTACACTTGAACATATTATATAGAGCTCAATTGATAATGATATTTATTTTCCAGTACCCGTTAGCGATTAAGTGGACTAGCCACTTTATATTCGGTTGTTTTGTCCGCTAATTAATTATTTATGCAACCCACATCTCCACCTACTATCCCAACCTAATAGCAGACCTGATATTTACGTGGCTAGGTATCACGGAGTCAACTCACTTCTAGACCGAAAGCTTGTAGTAAGAAAGGAATAATATAAATATTACATCTATTGGCCCTCCGAAAATGCAAATATCAGCAAACAATCCTACATATATTGAATTGGCTAAACCTACATAAAATCGCAGCCAAGTCCGCTACTCGTCAAAGCATCATGCTTTATCACTTGACTGTAGCTTCGTTGTCGCTCCTAGCAAGGGCTTCCCTTGCGACGACGATTCCTACCAATGCCTTGACACCTGCACTGGGTAAGGAATTTGTTGACTTGAGTCAGCCGTCGGAGGAGCTGCTCTCGATACACCAGCAGCTAAACAGGGAGAAATTTTCGCCTCGCTCTGAATTTCCACTCACTGTCGATGTGTACCTGAATATTATTACAAGTACAAATGAGCGTCAAAACGCTGTGAAGGTAAGTTGGTATATACTAGCCAGATGTCGGTAACTTTCTCAAATTTAACATGTACGATTAGGATACAACCATTACCTGGATGTTGAACACGCTGAATGATGCGTACAAGCCTGGCCAGATCGCGTTCCAGCTTCAAGATACGGCTCGCATTATCAACTCAACGTGGGCCGCTAATGAAGATGACGAGAATATGCGGAGCATCCTTCATAAAGGTGATAAGAGCACACTCAACCTATACTTGGTAGAGTCTCTTATAGACTACATTGGAGGAGGCAATCGTGACACCATAATCATCGGAAGTACTACTTCCCCGGATGAGTTGCGATTCAAGAACAGGCTAAGCCAAGACGGCGTACTACTTAACATCGGCACACTCCCTGGAGGCAGTTTTTCAGATAAGACCACGACTTTGATTCATGAAGTTGGCCATTGGTTTGGCCTCCTGCACACATTTGAGGGTGGCTGCGCGGGAGGTGACGGCGTAGACGATACTCCTGCCCAGGCAAACCCGTCTTATGATTGTAATAAGCCGCGCAACAGCTGCCCTAACGATCCTGACATGGATCCTATCAAGAATTTCATGGATTACGGGTCCGAGTAAGTACCCTGCTAAGAATGTCTATTTGTTCCTGTATCCGGCTTATTACTAACCACCGGGATAATAGTAACTGCCGCTCCGAGTTCACCCCTGGCCAGATGAAACGTATTAAAGAAATGTGGAACAAGTTCCGCGATCCTGCGGTAACACTGGTCCTGGAAGAGGATTTCTTGTACCAGATTCGGCGAATTTTCAATCGCATTCGTTACCTTCCTAGCCTTCAGCTTGCTTTTACAGACGACGCGACTCTCAAATGGCAGCTACTCACTCAGCTGCTAGCTGCTCAGAAGGATCTCACTGAAAATATTGGCAAGCCAGATTTCGGAACACGTGTTAAGCAGCATTTTGCTGGATTTCGCGCGATCCGAAATGTCGAGTTTTCTATGGATAAGGATGAAACTCTGAAACTCGAGTTGCCTTTGCAATTTAAAGAAGCGGAAGAAGGCTTGCTTAAGATGGCTTAGTGGGCTGGTATAAAAGTAATACCGGACTCAACTCTTCGTATTAGTACGGGCTATACTAGTGCCATGTAAACTTCGCCTAGACCGCTAAAGAGCAGCCTATATACGAATACAAGTCAAGCCTTGAGCTTTCTCTCCCTATATTGTCCTTTCCTTCTTAGCTTTAAAGAGACATAAAATGTAGCTATATATCAAACAGATGTAACGGCCAGGGTTGCCGGGAGATGAACTCACTTGACCCCTACTTTAAAAGCTCAGATAGTTGCAGCTCGTAGCAGTCCACCACCATCTTCTAGCCTGCTGGTGCCTCTTCCCACACATTGGCAGCAGAGGAGATGACGTCAAAGTGCGACATTGACCACGGGTGAACGGCAGACACGTAGTCGTGAACAGTGACATACTCCTTGGCAGAGGCACTGACACACCATAGGCCGCGGTGCTTGCGGTCGCTGCTCATTGCAACACTCGAGCAGATGGCCGGGGTCGTCTTCATCGTCCGAGGGGCCAAAACCACAGCCTTCATCGCCGGGCTGGGCGTGTTCATGCGGCTCCTCCCACAGGTCGCCCCAGTTGTCCCTGTCGGACATTTTGACGGTGATTCTCGGCTGTGGAGGGTCGCAAATGGGCTCCTCGGAGACGGCGTGCCATGCACTCCTAGATGCCTGTTGCCGAGAGTAGGCCTATTGGGAGCCTGGGAATTCTCCAAAGCTGAAATGGGCAATGTCCGTGGCCCCGGGGGAGTCCATTTAAAGCGCCTGCCACCATTGGAGGCATGGAGGGAAGACATGGGAGTAATTTTTCCTGTTGCCTCTCCCCTTGCAAACAACAAGTCTGTTACTTCTCGCCCCTTGTTTAGGTCATCGTGCCATCGTCTACTTGCAAAATATTATACTCTGTAAGTGGCATGTTTTAATCTTTCTTGTGCTGATATAATTAGAGTTTTAAACAGGATTACACATGTAAAGTCTCCACATTCCTGCCACTGAGCACAGAGATGGACATGTTACGACTCTATTATGTCGAATGCCCGGTGCTTCGACTCGATTCGACAACCTAGCATTTGACTCGAGTGCGGCAGCATGTGACTTGTATTGAAACTGGGGCTTGGTATATAATTTGATAGCGAATCACGCGCCCGCTATTTGAGTTGGTATTAAGGTTTCATGAAATTCAGCTTAAACTTCAAGTAAACTTAATTATTAAAAAGTTATTAATGCCTGTTTAAATAGAGGCCGCATGCGATCGTGATTGGTATGTTTGTCGGCCAGCAGCACTTTATCAAGCTTTTTCTTTACAAGCTTCCGCAAGTACGTCATGGAGCAGGAAACGTTCATGGTAAAGCATGCTTCTTCTCGGTAGTCGCTCGCGTTATGTGGCTGCATTTCTTTTCCCGACATTCCTGTAAAAATGCCATGAACCCTAATATAATATTCTAATTTGTGGCAACTGACAGTAAATTAATAACAAGGTTTTCTGCTATATACTATTGCATTTTCACAGCTTTTAATTGACTCGCCTAGCATAAGTAACTACGCATTTTGTGTGGCTGAGTATATATTAAATGTTTTAACCTCCTAGTACTTATTTCCTGAGATATTATTTTCCTGCGTAGTACACTTGAAAGTTAATTTATTTCTAATAATTATACTATTCTCAGGAGTAAATAAAGTAGAGATTTCTTAGTAATACTTATAGCTGGAATATAATAACTTTTAGAAAGCCTCTAGAAATTTACTTTTAATACTTAAAACCTATAAGCTATAAAATTTTTTATATTAAGTTAGAATTCTTCAACTCTAACGCTATAAAGCTTCCAGCTACTTGTCTTGTTATCCGCTCTCTAGAAGGAGAGACTCCCGAAACTAGCCTTAGAAATTAACCAGTAAAAACAAGAAACTTGCTATACAATTTAACTTTATATAACTTACTTTAAATCTTAGGAGACTTGTACTTTTTCTTTAGTATAAAATTATCCTAATAGTAAAATACTCCTACTAGTCTGTTATAAGATTTATCTGAAACGAGTTTACACTATATATATTTACGTTATTAACAAGTATAAAAGAGCGATAACCCCTACCCCCTTACAAGCTAGTATAAATAGCTAGCTATACTAAACTACTATTTAATTAATATCCTACCTTACCGTTATATTAAGGCTAATAGTAAAATATTAAGTATACAATATGCACTTTTCTATAATTTGGCTCCTCGCAATTCTCTTAGCAGTTAATGCTCAGAAGATTATAGTTAGTCCTAAAATTTTATTTTATATATTATTATTACAGTAATGCTAATTCCTGTTTCAGGGCCGTCTTTGTGTGGATTTATCATGCAATTTTTGTCCGCTCCCTTTAAGACAAGGGCAATGCGCTAAGCTCGATGGCTTCCGGTATGTTGTTCTCCTTGCTCGTCCGTATCGTAGGCGTCGCAATTAACTAGTATGGAATTAGATACATCCGGACTAGTGAGATGATAGGTTACCTCTATCCGTAAGTGCTATTAAGGACCTCTTTAGCTGCTACTATTCTCTAAAGAAATGAATCTCTAGTTAGTCAGACGAGTGCACAGGTGTGCAGACTCACGGAGTTCTCTATCGGGATGTCAACCGATCAGTCGTCAAGGTACATTCCGTTCTATGAAAGGTACCGGCAAGTAAGTCGGCAGGGCTGTCGGCAGCGTCGTGTTAGACGCAGTAGCGGAGAGAGCGCTCTTGGTTATTATATATTACACGGAAAAAGCCTAATAAATTATAAAGGCTAATAAAAAAGCTTTATACTAATATAAAACTTA